GGGCAGGCTGTGGAGGAGACACAGCAGGTTGCCTTGTGGGTGAAAGCCTCCTCTGTTTCCCTCCCATCCCTGGGTCCTTCTTTGGGGACACACAGTGGCGTGCTCACCAGCTGTCTGCATCAGGCCAGTGGCCTCCAGGAGCCAGACCACAAGGCTGAGGGTCGGACAGGCCTTCCCACCCCAGCTCTGGGGAAAGGGTTGGTCCTCGAGCCAATGGTGAATGTGTCTGCCCTGAGTAACCCCACTGTGCGCCCCACCCCTGCCATGGGTGCTGAAACCTGGCGTGAGGACCTGGCCACAGGCCAAGCAGATGTCGCCCTGCAGCTGAGGGCCACACAGAATCAGGGTGGCAGCGAGGGATTGGGAAACTGAGGCCGGAGACAAGAGGGGGATGTCCTGGGTGCGCCATGTCAGGGAACCCTGGGCGGGTGTTGGCCGGGTCACAGGAAGCAAGGCAGCTCCTGCCCCTGCGATGCTTCGGGAGCCAGTCTTTCTGTGGCTCATGTGCCTAGGCTCTAGTGGCCAAGACCTCACAGCAAACCAAATGGAATCCATAGCTTTGGAGAGGGGATGGGGACGGCAGCGTTTTTGCATTAGAGGTGGTCCCCTGGTGGCCGTGAACGCCTGTGCCCATGGTTCCAGCCTTCAGTTTGCATCTGCCTCTCTCTCGCCAGGGAGCATGGGGTCTGGAGCAGAGGGTCAGGGCAAGGACCACATCTGGACTGGGGAGAGCCACCCCGTCTCTGCCCACTGCCCAGCTGCCACCTCCACAAACTCACAGACTGCTGGCCAGAGGTGCGGCCCCAGGCTGTCCTCCCTGCCAGCCACTGTCAAGACAGGACCACGGCAAGTCAAACGCTCTTCAGAGCTTCCTTCCCAAACCCAAACCAAACGGCAGCTACCTCTCCCGTCCTGAGCCACAACCTGGACAGGGCAGCCGTGCGGTGAGGGGCTCCCAGCACCAAGGCCCACCTGCAGGATGGCCTGACGGGCTGCAGGAACCGACATGGCCTCCGGGCCCTCGCTTTTGAAAGAGGCCCAAGATGCGTGACCCTCAGCCTCTCACACCACTCCCCTCACTGCTCCGGGTCCCCACCAGCCTTGGACCCAGGACATCTTCTGCTGAGAGGAATTCTCCCACACAGCCCGGCTCTGTGCTCTGGCCGTGCACCTGGAGGGCTCCTTCCAGCCTGTCCTCTGACCTGACGGGGGCAGAGACCAGCATCTCCCACCATGCTTGAAGAGTGGGTGTTGGGAGGGGGTGGCTGGACACCCCCAAGCCCCTCTGCCTGCCAGGGCCACCCTAGGACCTGGCCAGGGGTGAGGAGGGGCCAGCCTCCCAGGAGGGCCCATGAGGCCCAGGCAGGTGGGGACAGGCTACAGAGACCCAAGATGTCCCGGTGGGCGTGGGGAGCCCACCCAAACCACACAGCCACAGGGATCAAGATGGGCCTAAAGGTCTCCTGTTTGCCTGTGTTTCCAAATAGTTCCGCAAGTTGACAGCAAAGCCTGACCCAGATCCGCCCCCATCCATCCCAAACCCCATCCATCCCATCCCCCATCCACCCCAGCCCCATCCACCCCAGCCCCATCCATCCCAGCCCCCATCCGTCCCAGCCCCCATCCATCCCAGCGCCCATCCATCCCAGCCCCCATCCATCCCAGCCCCCATCCATCCCAGCCCCCATCCATCCCAGCCCCCATCCATCCCAGCCCCCATCCATCCCAGCGCCCATCCATCCCAACCCCCATCCATCCCAGCCCCCATCCATCCCAGCCTGTCCGTCCCAGCCTCATCGGTCCCACCCCATTGGTCCCAGCTCTCATCAGTCCCAGCCATAATCGTGCCTGCCCCGCCTGGCCCCCCAGTGACTGGTTCTCTCTCATCACTTTTTCTTCTGACTCATCTGTCTGTCCAGTATCCCAGAGATCACTTCACCCTGTCCCCAGCCCTCACCCTTTCCCCACCCAACCCTGCACCCACACACACACCCACATGTGCCCACACATACTCCGTGCCCCCCAGACACCCCACGCCCCTGCACACCCCGCGCGTCCCTGCATGCCCCACACGCATGTCCTCTGTGTGTCCTCTGGCCACCCACACAGCTATCCCTCCATCCCACCCCACCCTCTCCCCCACGGACCCCAGAGCAGCACCAGCTGCCCCTGTGTGCCCCTGGCAAGAGCTGCTGGCTCCTCCCACGAGCTCAGCTGCTGCCTTAAGGAAACCTGCCCATGGGCAGCAGCCCCTTCAGTGCGCAACCAGGCCCAGGACTGCTCCAGACATGTCCAGGGGCAGCTAAGACTCTGGCAGGTGCTGTGAGTGGGTGGGACCAGCACCTCACAACAGCTCTGGCCAGTCGGGGCCACCGTTGGTGTGATGTGGGTGTCCAGGGGCCAGGAGCACACGCTGGGTGGCTGCTCGCACACGTGCCCAGGGTCCCTGCCCCCTGTAATCACACCTGTAATCCCAGCACTTTGGGAGGCCGAGGCAGGTGGATCGCCTGAGGTCAGGAGTTCCAGCACATTCCCCAGCAGGGCCAGGATGCTGTAGGGTGGGGCCGCCCTCTCCCACTCCTTGTTTCCAGGGGTCAGTGCCTAGAGGGGGTGTCCCCAGGAGCCAAGGAGCTGCAGCCTCCAGAGACCCCAGCACTCCCGAAGCTCCGCGCCTCAGGGGGAAATGGGGGTGCCAGTCTCCCATCCCCTTTCCCAGGACCCCAGTTGGCTCAGAGCTGAGTCCTTACCACCCGAGACTGGGCACTCCTGGGAACAGCCCTGCCTGGATGAATTCTGCCAGGAGGGGTGAGGAGTGCACCCCCGGACCCTCGAGGCGTCCCTGCAGGTCCCTGCACTGCGTCCCTGAGCCCCAGGGGCCTATTTCCACCTGCACTGCCCCCAAAGCTCCCACACTCTCTGAAATGGGACTGGGGCCACAGCCCTGGGTGAGCAGCGTGCTGGCTGCAGCAGAAGACAGTGTGGGGGTAGGGAAGTGCATGGAGCTGGCCTCCCAGGGGCCCGCCAGCTCTGTGAACACTTCAGAGAGAAGGCCAGGGCGCTGCTGACAGCCCCTGCCCCATTTCCCCAAAGTTCCAGGAAATTCCATTTTGCCCGCTGTCTGTTCTTTATGTTTCAATCCAGCCGAGACTCAGAGTAGCTTCCCAAAGACCCCAAGTAATGGAAACTTAGCATCAGTACTCAGAGTAAAGCCGGCTTTGGAAATACGTGAATGACAGCCACGGGCCCCCTTGTCCCCACCTGGATGGCATGGAGAGCCCGGCCAGGCCAGCTGTCAGCTCCCCCACTGCATCTGCCGGGGCAGAGGGGGTGGGGCCAGTAAGGCCAGGGCTGGGCACAGCCACTCACAGCCTGGTGAGGAGGGGACTTACTCTCTGCTTCCTCCTCCTCTTTTTTCACCTCCCCCAAAGGAGCTGGACTGAGCGTGGGGTTGTTTTCCTGCAGCTGTGAGAAGGCCCGCCCCGAGGCCTGCGTGCAGGGTTTCGAGGTGCCTCCGCCCCCCTCAGATGTACTCTGGGTTTGGCCTGTGGATGCTGTGAGACATGATGGTCAGATTAACACCGTGTCCATGTAATAAAGTGAACGTTTGCTGTTGCCTGGCTGTACCTCTCCTTTGGACCCAGGAGGCTTCGGCAAAGCCTCATCTCACCCATGAATTCACCAAATACTGGACTTCTCTGCCCAGCAGGGACAGGCCTTCCCCACCACGTACCACGTACGCTGTGGGGACAAACATGCCAGTGTGTGGCGTGGGGCTGGGGCGATGGTGAAGAGGCAGTGGGAGCACACGGGCATGGAGGACATTCAGGGGTCCCGACAGCCTCATACCCGGGAGCTGGTCCTGAGGGTTCCCAGACTGGAGTGCCCCTGCCTGAGCAGGCTGAGCCTCAGACAGTGCTGGGGCCATGATACCTCTAACCCCGATGGGGGGACACAGGGAACCTCAGGGGACACAGAAAACTGAGGGGAGCCTGGGCATGGTGGTTCACACCTGTAATCCAAGCACTGTGCGAGGCCGAGCATGTCAGATCACCTGAAGTCAGGAGTTCAAGACCAGCCTGGCCAACATAATGAAACCCCGTCTCTACTAAAAACACAAAAAGTTAGCTGGGCGTGCTGGCTCATGCCTGTAATCCCAGTTACTCGCGAGGCTGAGGAAGGAGAATCGCGTGAACTCAGGAGGTGGAGGTTGCAGTGAGCTGAGATCGCACCACTGCACCCTAGCCTGGGTGACAGAGCAAGGCTGTAAGAAAGAAAGAAAAAGAAGAGAAGAAGGGAAGGAAGGAAGGAGGGAGGGAGGGAGGGAAAGAGGGAAGGAAGGACGGATGGGGGACCTGAGGGTGGCCAACACAGGAAGGGATGGCACTCCCCTCTCAGCCATCCCCATGGGGCCCCGGTGTCAGAGCACACATGGATTCCATCTGGAATAGGAGTTGGGCTGGATGCTGATGCCCCTGGGGACAGGCTGCCATGAACCCTCAGTCCTGGCTCGGGAACAGGGTGTATTTGAGAAGCGTCACTGGAAAGGCTGGCGTCAGAGCCGTCTGTCCCCTGCCCGGCGGCTGGCAGGAGCCCCGGCCGGGCCTGGTGTGTCAGCAGTCTCAGACAGGGTGAGCATGACAAGGTTTTTCCATGGCCGGGGCCAAGCTCTGAGGGGCTTGTGCCAGAGCTGGGCAGAGTCCAGGAGGCTCTGGGCTTGGACGGAGCTGGCTGCGGTCCTGCCTCCCACAGGGAGGTAGAGGCACAGGTGCTGGTGGACCTCAGACACACGACACAGACACACGGGTTGGGGACCCTCAGACACACGACAGACACACGGGGTGAGGGACCCTCAGACACACGGCACAGACACACGGGGTGAGGGACCCTCAGACACACGACACAGACACACGGGGCGGGGAACCCTCAGACACACGACACAGACACACGGGTGAGGGACCCTCAGACACACGACACAGACACACGGGTGAGGGACCCTCAGACACACGACAGACACACAGGGCGGGGGACCCTCAGACACATGACACAGACACATGGGTGAGGGACCCTCAGACACACGACAGACACACGGGGCGGGGACCCTCAGACACATGACACAGACACA